TCTCTTGAGTGTGGATGGCCCTGCAGACAATTGTTCAGAGAAAAATGTCCGTTATCAGATTGTTTGTGTTCTAGAGTCTCTTAAGCCAGGCTTTTAAGGCCTGCAAACTTTGATTTATGTTTTATATATTACTATACTAGATATAAAGTTAGCATTTGTTGTTGTCAGATATTGATACTTTACTGACACTAACTATGCCATTATAAGCAAAACATTTATACTGAAGTTATGCAAATGGCAGAAAATAGTTTTGTAATATGGCCAGAAACAAAGAAATTGTACCCACCAAGCATTTGCACTGTGGCCCGCATAGCCCTAGTCTGCAGGAACCAACTTGACCACATTTGACTGCTCACTGTCACTGAAAGGGATAGCTTGCAAGGACAGTATGCTGCAGGAGCTGAAAAGGGATGTTGGTCACAGTTGAGTGAAAGTAGGCGCCTGAAAGTAAGAGTAAGCATGGTATGTCTTCTAGAATTAAAGACATGCACAAACAGCACCCTCATTGTTCTACAGAGAAATGATGGACCAATTCAAACTGTGAGATAATGGTGAGTAGAGCCTCTAGACTGTTGTTCGCCAGTGAGCATCACAAATAGAGTTTGCGGTGAGTCTAAGTATATTTCCACTGGGGCAGGAGAGTTTAAAGATGTGCCAGAAATGCGACCACTGCTGTCAATGGGATGTGGAGATTCTACATATAGTTTCAGAAGTAGCATGGCAGTGATTGTAACATAGATAGAGCTTACTGCGAAAGAGGCAATAAAATGAGTATGTCATGATATCAGTAGCACACATAGCTTAGCACAATGTCTGCATGCAGTGCAAGAGACTGACCTCTTTAAATACATTGAGCAGAATTGGGGCAGCAGCAGAACATACATATAGAACTTTAGCTTCTGGCAATAGGACACCATTGAAGCCTCTTTTGTAACACACAAGCAGTACAGACACAGTGGCAAATGCAATGTATACATCATATAAAACTATAATCACACAGAGAGCGACAACAATATCCAGTACATAAAATGGTAGAGAGAACTGCCTATTAGTTCCGAGATCTCTTGTTTCCTATGACCTTGGCAGAAGGAGCTGTGGTCTCCTCCTTCTCAGGCTGCTTGTGATCATTAAGAGCACGCACAGCAGCTGAAACAGCACTGACACCTCTAACAACTCCTCCTGGCTCAAGAATGCTTACCGTGGGCACAGGCAACTCTTCACTAGGAACTGAGCTGCTACCCAAAGGAGTAGAAGATGTGGCAAAGTCTGTGATGGCAGCCAACAGTGCAGCTTTGATAAGTGCATTGCCAGTAGCACCTTTGGCAGACCTAGAATGGAGCTCAGTAAGTGATCTTCAGGTGGAGCTGTGGAGGACATGTCAGACTCACAAAGAAAGCCTGTAAGCATTGTACTTGCACTTTTTAGAAGGAGGCATGGCAGAAGGAAATCCAGTGCCAGCTCTGTTGGCAGCTGGAGGAGTGTGGAGTGCATTAAATGTGATACTCTCAACCTCAGCAGTGAGCATGCTGTCATGGCATATGTCATGAAAAGTCCTGAGTACCTGCACAGTGGACTGCAAGGTTGGCAATGGGACTCAGCTCTAGCAAGAGGTGGATCCATTAAAGTTGGCCCTGAACAAATTGTGAGAATTAAACTGCGGACAATAGCACCTGCTCGGCTTACTCAAAAGTAGATGTCTTCTTCTCATCACAGACATGCTCAGTGACCTCCAGCATTGTATGCTTGTTGTTATTGAGGGCCGTAATGTCTCTGATCAAGCGAATGATGCCCAGGCCCATAATATAAGTTGGAATGTTGGGCAGAAAGTCGTCATACCCATCCTGCATTGGGTTACTGGAATACAGATAAACATGAATGGCCTCCAAAAGAACAGGCTTGTTGAGGGGAAAATAGCTACATGCAACAGTGAAGACAACTGTATCATCAGAGAGAGGCGTGTCATCTCTGGAACTGTAGACATGAAGCTGAGCTGTGACACTGGCATCAGACAGGCTGTTGGTCTGCATCACAGTGCGATAATGGCAGTAATAGCTTGTGCAACTGTTGCTGGTCTGTCCAGCAACACAGCGACTGCCACCAAGACTGAAGTTGCCGAAGACAATAGTAGGTGATGCGGAAATCATGATGATGCTGCAAATGTGAGCTGGTTCATGACTAATGTCCCCACTGGCATTAAATACCTAGAAAAACATATGCTCGTGTCTGTTTTTAGCACAGCAGGTGAACAGAGGTGCATTCACAAATAACTTAGCCCATAGAGATTAGGAGAGGTTTGTAAAGTGTGGTGGTGGTAAAGGGCTGTCTTCAGACATGAGTCATAGTAGGTACATGTGAAAGACAGCTGCAGAATGTCTCTAGGCTAAATGCAAAATGGTGATGCACCTTCTATATGATTTAAGCACAGTGAGGTGTCCAAATTTATGTTCCAGAGTGGGAGCTGTAAGAGGCAATGAGGCTTGGCACAGACGGAGAGAATGAGAGGGAGCAGCACCACAACTGAACAGATATGCACTGTGGCATGGCCAAGCCCAAGCACACTAGGGAAGATTTATGGAGCATGGCATCCCAGTGCCACAGATAAAACAGGAACACACCTCCTGTATGATCCAAGCACAATGGGGAGATCCCTCGGAGCACACCTCCTGCATGGTGGCAAAATGGTAGCACACCTCCTGTATGATTCAAGCACAGTGAGGACTTCAAATTGACATTTCAGAGTGGGAGCTGTAAGGACCAATGAGGCTTGGCACAGACAGAGATGATGAGAGGGGTCAGCACTGAAAAGGAACGGACATGCACTGTGGCATGGTTAAGCCCGAGCACACCAGGGGAGATTTGTAGAGGATGGCATCCCAGTGCCACAGACAAAACAGGAACACCCCCCTGTATGATCCAAGTGCAGTGGGGAGATCCATCAGTGCAAGAGCTATCTCAAGAGAGAGCAATGAAGGTTAACACAATGAGAGGGGCATGAAAGCCAAAATGCAGGAACTGACCAAGGTCAGAGAGTGCGAATACATGGTGGAGGCAATAATTTTGGTAGCAGAGTGGGTCAAAATTTAGAGCAGATGCAAAGAGGTAGAGGGGTCACGAGCAAGAGTGAGGGCAAGAGTATATACAGAGTGAAAGGA